GGGATTAAAGGTGTGCACCAACAACACCCAGCGAGGTTGGGCCATTTTGGAAACAATTCAGTTTGAATTCACTGTGTAGACCAGACTGGCTAATTCCGGATGCCTTTGTAGACCAGGCTGGCTAGACCTGAACTCACTATATAGACTGAGCTAGACCAAGAGAGCTAGCCTTGAACTCATGACCCTTTTGCCTTAATCTTCCAAATACTGGCTGGAAGTCATATCCCAGATAAAATTTTCATATTTTAGGATCATTAGTGATATGATTTCCCTGATTTTTCAACAAGTTCCATATTTTCTTTTCTTTGGTTTTTGTTTTTTGAGACAGGGTTTCTCTGTGTAGCCCTGGCTGTCCTATAACTTGCACTGGAGACCAAGTTGGCCTCAAACTCAGAGATTAACCTGCCTCTGCCTCCTGAGTGCTGGGATTAAAGACATGTGCCACTACCACCTGGCTTAAGTTTCATATTTTCATGTTGTGCTAGTCTCTTGTCAAAATTAAGTTCCTATTGCTGTGATGGAACACCATGAGTGAAATCTACTTGGGGAGGAAAGGGTTCATTGGGCATGCTCATCCCAAGCTCAGTTCATCACACAGGGAAGTTGCTAGGGCAGGGGGTCAAGCAGGAGCCTGGAGGTAGGAACTGAAGCAGAGTCCATGGAGGGATGCTGCTTACTGGCTTGCTCTCTGTGGTTCACTCACCCTGCTTTCTTATACAACACAGGACCACCAGCCCACAGTGGGCTTGGCCCTCCCACATCAATCATAATCAAGAAAATACCTCACAAATTTGCCTATAGGCCAATCTGATGGGGGCATCTGCTCAGTTGAAGTTTCCTCTTTCCAAATGATTCTGGCTTATAACAAGATGACAAGAAATTATGTGCCCAGTCCTGACCTCTTGATTTCAAGACATGTCTACTAGAATCAGTAAAGTTAGTTTTAGAAAACACTATCCCAGGATTTCTCTTGGTACAAAGTTGCTTCTAGGGCTAGTCATACTTTTATTTGGTGTCTCCAGTTGAGACTAATATGATACTGTCTATCCTTTGGTAAGAGGAAACAAGTCTCCCAAACATAGCTCTAAATAGATGGGAAAAAGTCAAGAGAACAAATTGGTGTTTATTGCAGGTCATGAGGATTATTAGGGCACAAATTTCTAGTCTTTGTTTATACCCAATGGTACCTATCCCCACTGTTGCCATTTAAATCCTGAACATCACTTGACAATATCAATAAAGGAATGTGTGGTGCACCTCTGTAGACACACCCCAGATGTGTCCTTCAGAGCCCCAAGAGGAAATGTCTACCCTTCATGAGATTTCAAGGCTTCAGGAGAATCATGTGTCTTGCTCAGGGTCAACAAGACTCAACCAACAGTCAAAGGCATGATTTCTCTGTGGTCTCAGTAAGGCTTAGATTCCTCAGTCTTACTGGGCAGTTTATGTTAGTTTGTCTACTGAAATTCTGAAAGGAGAAAATTCTATTTCCTTGAGTTTCCCAGAGAACAATTCATACAAAACCCCATCTATTAGCTTTGCACAGCTAGCCAGAGTCCTCTTACCAAAAATGAAATCTGAGTCAGAACAGGCAATAACCTGGGGCCATTTGCAGATTGTCTGCATATCCTTCTTGAGCTCCCAGGAACACTCAAATGTGTGTTAGACTAACACCTCTCACTGCATCCTAGCATCTCCCTTGCTATTCTTGAGAGTTCTATAGACAGCACACGGGTTCCCGAGCCTAAGTTTTCTCCAGATGCCTCACCACAGCCTCCTGTTTGGAGAACACATCCCTTAGCAACACAGCCTAATTCTCTAGGTAGTTCTGGGCTATTCTAAGTCCCTTCCCAATGCCAAGCCTCTGTCTCTACATATGGCTTTATGTGGAGGACAGTACCTTAAGAACCATATCATCAGGCTGCCCAGGGGCCACCATAATCCCGATGGAAGGGTCAGCTGCTTTTCTGCCAGGATGAACTTGCTCTTGCCCACTACTTCCTGTTAGCCAGGACTCAGTGTAAAGGCTAGCTCATGGGCCAGGCTGCACTATGATAGCCCTAACTAAAATAATACAAGTCTTTCTTCTTTCCTTTCTATCCAAAGATAATTGAAAATACACACTTTTTTTTTACTTTGTGTTTAAAATAATCTTCCTGAAAATATTTTAATGATAATGTATTTATCTAACACAATGATAATGGATTAAGAGCAGGATATGTGGCTGTATTCATAGGAGGATCAGGAGCCTTGCTTTATAAACACACACACACACACTCGGATTTCTTTTTTGTGTTTTTGAGACACGGTTTCTCTGTATAGCCCTGGCTGCCCTGGAATTCTCTCTGTAGACCAGACTGACCTCGAACTCAGAGCTCAAGCTGGGATCAAAAGCATGTGACACTATTGCCAGGCTAAACTTTGATTTCTTGAGGTAGTAGAGTTAGAGGTTGTTCTGCATTTCTTTAAATGTTTTGGGTTTTTTTCTAGAAGAAAACATCTATATAGGTATATACTACTTTGATAATCCCACAAAAAAAGATCATTTGCTACTAGCTGAGACTTCTGAGAGACTGGGAAATGATTTTATGAACCAACCCAAAGGATATCAATGACAAGCTTCGCATCAATGTGATTTCTGTGCAGAGCCTTCCTGCCAGGTGATGGATGTTCCATAAAATGTAGACTTAGACTTCGACAAAACTGTTCATCTTGTCATCACTCACATGATTATGTGATATCTGAGGACATCAGAGCCTTGAATCAATGTACTGATGTCTTTCCTGATGAGTAGGTCTGAAGTCTCCCCAAAGAATTTTGAAATGTGGCCTCTGAGAGCCCACCCGAGTCTGGGTACCAGTTAGCAGGAGAGGTTCAGAAGATGCTGACTTTTTGCATCAAGTTGTGATGGCAAGAGCATTGCCTTTGGAGATGGATGGCTCTGAAGCTTTGGGATACCCTTCTGCAAGGCAGATGGCCGTATTTCTTTTGGTAGCGCGAATGTGCGTGCGTGGGTGCATGTGTGTGTGTGTGTGTGTGTGTGTGTGTGTGTGTGTGTGTTGCTACATGCCTTTAATCTCAGCACTTGAAGGCAAGAGGATCTCTGAAATCAAGGTTAGCCTGATCTACATAGTTCCAGGCCAGGCAGGGCTACAGAGTGAGCCCAGTAAGTACCTAGTAGTACACAAGCTAAAGCATTAATATTAATAACTGATGGGCCCCAAAGAAGGCAGCATCAGGGAAAGTCTCCAAAGGTCTCTTTCCATTCTGTCACCAGTGAGTTTTTCAAAGTTTTTGGGTGGTGCAGACAGAAGTAGAGGGGCTGACCAGACCTCAGCCCTCCCCTGACTGGGCTGGCCTGACCAAGGACACATCTTAGGTTTCACCGTGGAAATGTAGCTACTTGTGGGGTGGGGTGGGGTTGGAGGGCAGGCAGTGCTAGCTAGCTACTTACTGGCCAGTAGCCAGAAGCGTGGGGTGAATGTGGTTCTAGAATGCCTGTGGATAATGCTGAAGTCAGGCTCCATTTCCACTCCAAAACCACTGCATTAACCATCCTGAGTGCCTTTACCTCCACCCACAGCTGTGCTACCCTTTAACTATTCATCGGGGCAGAAGCCAGTGTGCCAAGAAATCAGAGGGATCAAGTATCCTTTTATGGATACGGGGACCGATGTCACAATCTCTAGTGACACAATTTCTAATTCACTACTAGTCCCCTTAATAATAATCCTGTACATTATAAACTACTTCACAATGTATCGTGTCTCCCTAGGCTGGGTTGCACCCTAGTAAAGATGATCCCTGGTGGGGGCAGGGTAGCACAGTGGTAGAGCGCTTGCCTAAAAATGACCTCAATCATGGCATACTGTGAAGGCAGAGGGAGGCTGGTGCTCAGAGCTCAAAGGGACACCAACAACAGATCTACACTTGTGAATGGAGTGTGATGGCTGTAGTATTTCCAGCCTCCAGACACATCCACCATCGTGTTGTTCCTGCCCCTCCCCCTGCCCTCTTGCTGGAACAGGCCAGTTAGTTCAGGCAACTTTCAAGGTTGGAAACGAAGAAATGCCCTTTTATTCTACAAGAGAAGCTTGACTATGCTCAAGTCCCAGTACATTGGCTTGGAGAAGAGTGGGTTTTGTCACTGAAAGGCAGTTGCTTAGGCCACTGTTTCCCACAATTCACAGGAAGTCCTTTGGAAGACCCAGGGTTTTCCTTCTTTGCAGATTTTAAATATTTTATGCCAAATATATACATTAACCTCATCTCTAAAGTGCACTGTGGAATGTATAACTTTAGCCCAACAGAAGAGCCTCATGTATATGACCAAAAGAATTCAGCAGGGCTAGAGACCTACCATGAACCGGGGGCTTTTGAGACTCCTGGCAACCTGGAACAACCAGCAAGACCCAGAGAGAAGAAAGTGGCATTTTTGGAATCCATTTTGCTCGGGATGTTGAGGACATCCTGGAAAAAAATCCCCTTTGCTACCGGGGCAAGTGCACTTGGGAGAAGGCCAATCCCACCGGGATACACACTTAAAAGAAGACACAGGCCAACTTTGGAGCCAGTGATACCGGAGTGGAGCAGGCAGGTAGGTGCATTGACTGCTCTCAAAACCCATGGTTTATGGGGCTCGCCTGGGCGCTGCCTCTATATTTTGGACCCAGGTTCACTGGTGAGCAGTAGCTGTCAGCCCCACTGGGTCGCCCTCTGTCTGTCCAGCCATTTAAAGATACGATTTACCAGGTATGTGAGGGAAGAGATGACTATGGCCTTTGGAAGGCATCATCTTGAAAGTCTCACTTTTTCTCAAGCGCCTCCCTCCCAGTCTCCTCCCTAGAGCACTCCTAAGAGGGAGTCAGCTCCAAGGTGTGCTTTGCTGGTGCTCTGGGACCCAGAGGGACTAGGTCGGGGAGAGCAGAGGACGCGTGGCACACGGGGTCCCTGGAGGCCCGGGAAAGGAGGGGTGGGGGGCACGGCGGGGCGCGGCTCACCTGCCAGGCTGTTGTAGCAGTCGATCTCGATGGCTTCAACCGTCTTGCTCTGTTCCTCCGAGAGATAGCTGGGTTTGGGGACCCCGGCCGGGGAAGCTGGCCGCGGGTCCTGCTCCCGCTCCCCTGGGGGCGGCAGCAACCCCTTCAGCTCCAGCAACGCTCTGTGGTATTTGCCGATGGCTTCACGGAATTTCTTGTCCTTGTAGCACTGTGCCCCTTGGCTCTTAAACTCGTGCGCGCGCCGGATGAGCTCCGCGGGCTCGGCCGCCGCCCCAGCCTGGCCCCGTTCTGGGGCTCCTCCGCCACCCGGGACGCACGGTGGCGGCACGGGCCGCGGCCCCTCGCCCAGCGCGGGCGGGCTAGGGTTCCCCGAGGCTCGGGCCGCCAAGCCCTTCCTCTCCATCCGGCCGCCGCCCGCGCCAGGAGCGCACCACGATCCCGGCTTTAAAAGCGCCGGGCGCTGGCTTCGCGCCCCGCAGACTCCGCGGCGGCCGTGACCCTGGGCGCCGCGCGCTTGCCCCGCACTCCCATCCTAGTCGCCAGCCGCCCGAGGCTGCTCCCTCCTCCTGCGATCGCTCCCCTCCCAGTCTCCCCCCCCCTCCCACCCCCGATCCCGCGGCGCCCGCCCTCGTCCCCGCCCTTCTTTGCTCCCGCAACCTGCCGCCGCTGGCTACCGGACTCTGTGCGCGCCTGGCCGTGGTGCAGGGGACAGTGGGCCTGACTGGGGTGGTGGTGATTGTCGTTGACCCGGAAGAAGCTGGGCTTGCTCAAAGGAGGGGAGGATTAACGACAGAGAGGGCTCCCGGGTTCTTATTCATTCAGCCTTCCGAGGCGCTGGCCGAAAGAAGCCGTGGGGGGAGGGGTGCATATGTATGGGGAGGACGGGGGTGTTTCACCCCAACAGCTTTCTTTAGAACTAAAGAGACGGGGAGCGACGGGGAGCAAGGAAAAATAAGCAGGAGCCATTGCTTGTTTTGTTTGCAGCAAGACATCACTATTTTAGGTGGCAGGGCCTCTCCTTTGTGAATCCAGGTTGTCGCTGAGGTGTGTCTCCTGGGCTCCCAGGACACTGGGTGCACGTCTGCGTGCCGGGCGTTGTATTTCGGGAGCCTGTGTGTGTGTGCTTACGCTATGTGCGTGCGCAGCTATGCAGAATGAATCACAGAATGGAAACACCTGTTACTGTTGGTCATCAGGCTTGGCGAGCACAGGGTTCCATTTTCCATTACTAGACAGTTCCGCGCCCTCCCTGGGAAGGTTCCTCTCCTTCATTCTTTCACTCAATCTTGAGTGTCAGCTGTGGGCTGGAGATTAGCTGAGGCTCATAGGCAAGAGAAAATAGGCATGTTACTCCCCGCCCCCTGCACCCCAGAAGTGCCCAGTTTACTGCAGGACGACACACTCCCCACTAGCAATCCCCGGACCAGGCAGTGGTTGGTTGTAAAGTATTGCCAAGGAGGAAGAGGTGCTGGGGCCACTCTGAGGAGGCCTTGTGGGCATAATAACATTTGAGGATCCTGAAGGATGAGCAGGATTTGGGCATTGAGGAGGAAGTAACATTATCAGCCAAGGCTAGGAAAGTGCATAGAGCTGTGATGTTTGACATCTCATGTGTATTGGGTCATAATGATTTGACTTTGTGGCTGTGGGAATGAGGGATGTCTAGGAGGGATTCCAGGGGTTTCTGGATGAAGCATTTGGATTTGATTTATAGGCAGCAAAGAAGATAGATTTGTTTTTAGGGTCTTCATACCATTTATGATCTAAGAGAGAGAAAAGAAACTAGCTCCCAGTGATTGTCAAAGTGTGCTTCCCAGGTCTGCAACATCAGCATCTTCTGGGAATTCTAAGGTAAGAGTCCCAGGCCTTCTAAAAGAGAACCTCAGCCTTATATCCGGTAACCATGCTTCTGAAGCTCCAAGACTGGCTCAGAGATACTGTTGTGAAAACTTCCTACTTAGAAGTTCAGGCCTTGGACCAGGAATACCAGCATCACTTTTGAGCCCGTGGGAAGTTCTATGTGACATTCCCAGCCCACTGACCCAAAAGTTGCCCTTTAACAAGATTGGCAGTGATGTATATGGCTACTAGACTGACCTGCTGCTCTGCACTAGTTTAGGAAAGTACAGAAAACTGTTAACAACATCTCTACCCCCTTCCCACCAACCAGGCTTATAAAGTCACCTCCTGACTTTAGGTAAAGTTTGTATTTCTGTTTAGCAAATATAAGTAGTGTAGGACAATGTTTGCAATTTATTTCCTTTAAAAAATTTTATGTTTGATTGAATATTCTTTTACTGCTTCCCCCTTGAAGTGCTGGGGATTGAACCTGGGGCTTCATGAATGCTAACAACTACTCTACTGCTAAGCTGGGCCCCTATGCTTTATCTTCATGGCTATATAATAGCTCATTGTTTGTCTGTACCATAGGGGTATGGAACCAATTTTTTTTGTAGCCAGAGAGCTTTTCACTGTACATTATGCCAGATACTGGATTAAGCACTTTATATATAAGTCATTTAACCTTCACAACAATCTAGTGAAATAGGTGCTGTTATGCTAATTTTGAACACTATGCCACAGACGTGTGTGTGTGTGTGTGTGTGTGTGTGTGTATGTGTGGTTTTCCAGACAGGGTTTTTCTGTGTAACAGCCTTGGCTGTCCTGGAACTCACTTTGTGGACCAGACTGGCCTTGAACTCACAGAGATCTACCTGCCTCTGCCTCCTGAGTGCTGGGAGTAAAGGCACACACCATCATGCCCAGCCAAAATCTAGTATTCAAATCCTGCTCCATAATCTTTTGCATCATTCTTTACATATACTCTTATTTATTCTTCTGCTCTTATTTATTTTTCTATCTACAAAATTAAGTTAATTTTAAGGTGCTTTGGGTCAAATCCAGGGCCTCATTTGTGCTAGGCAACCATTTTACCACTGAGCTATACACCCAGCTCAAGGGAGTCTTGAAACATAGTGTCAGTTTGCTTTTTCTCCCTCATGTGTCCATGTGTGGTATACATGAGTATATGTGTGTCCCTGTGTGTGTGAACAGGTATGTGTGGGATGCAGGTGCTCAAGCATGTGGACGCCTGAGGTTGATATTGAGTGTCTTCACTGATTGGTCTCTACCTGTTTTATTGAAGCAGTTGGATGCAGGGCTTAGGAAGTGATTAGTCTGGCTAGCCAGCTTTCTCTGGGAGAATCCCCCTTCCACCTCCAACTGCTGGCACTAAGGGTGGACCCCCAAGCCAACCTGGTGTTGACAAATGCTTAGTCACTAAAGCCATCTCTCCAGCATCCAGTTTGTTTTTTAAAATGTGACACATCTGAATATGGTGGCTTCTGCCTGTAATCCCAGCACTCAGAGGCAGTTCGTGTGCTTCAGATTCAAGATTAGTCACATATACATAGTGAATTCCAGGTCATCTTGGGCAACAGAGGGAACCTCGTCCTTAAAAATATAATATAATGCACATTTAAAAGGTGGAACAAACCTGTGCTCCCAGGACAAATACATCATTAAACAGCATGCTTACTAACAAGAGTAAAACTTGCATAGCTAGTTTTGAACTTGGTAAATGAAAAATGTACATCATCTTAGCCCAGATAGATTTTATGCTAAAGATGAGTGTTTTCACATGTGTAGCTACCATCTATAGAGAACCGAAGTCTTTAAATTGGACCTGAACTCGGTATACTAAATTATACCGTGTATTTTGTAGACGGTTCTATCGTCTCTAATCCCACTTGAGACTCGAGCTAGTTCTAGAGAGGATAAGAAGGGTGAAGAGTCTTACACAATAAGTCTACAGTTTTCTGTCAAGTGAGGCACTCTGTTTGCTTAATGGCTAAGAAGCTTTGAACTCAGGCTGGTGTGGGCTGGAATTCTATCCTGGCTGTTTCCTGGGCAAGTTATTCAACTCTGGACAACCTCAGATTTCTTCACTCATTAAGTGGGGGTGGGCTTCTTGGGAAGCACAGTATAAGTGCTTGGCAGATGGTAGCTGTATTACGACGTAAGTCCTACCACAGCTGGATCCCAAAATAATGCTGTGGCAGGACTCCAATCATTCGTAATTATCTGATAACTCCTGGCTCTTTTGATTTTCAAGCAGTATATCCAGTTGAGCCGAGGGAAGAGGTTGAGAGTGGATGCTCTGAGAGCCTGCTGTTAGCCCTATGAAAAGCCATTTGGGTAGAAAGAGCTGTGGATGACAAATAGTGAATAAGGATCCAGACCTGGGATTTGGAAATTTCTGAACAAAAAGACATAAATAAGGTCACACTAACCATGCAAGGGTAAATAGGCCTAGAGAGATGGCTCAGTCACTAACATGTTGGTTGTGCAAGCAAGCCTGTATAACCCCACTGCTGAGGAGAAAGAGACAGATTCCTGAAGCTCCCTGGCCAGCCAGTCTAGTTTGATCAGTGAATTCTGAGTTCAGTAGACCCTGTCTCAAGAAATAAGGTGGGAGAGTGACCCATTGAAAGGTAAGAATAATGATACGACAAAGTGCTTTTGTTGTTGTTTCTCCCGCTGTGTCTTGTCTTCAATTTTGGACATCAGGACAAGGCTTTAAGAAGCAGATAACCCGTGTGACATTTCCTTGTGTATGATGAAGAACTCAACACAAGGCCTTAGTACTCCTAAGAATGAAGGGGAGCACCAGTGAGGAAGGGAGGGAAGACCACGGGGGAGGGAGTACGGAAGGAGTTACTATGCCCATCTGTCCCACTTGGCAGTGCTGAATGTGGGTGCCTGGAATTACTTTATTTGCTTGTTTTCAGTACGCTTATGTCTGGCTAAGCCACCCATTTGCAGTGTGTTCTAGCTTCCCAGAAACGCTTGCTTCCCCTCAGATGGAATTAAAGAAGTGCCAACAAGAATTTCTCAAATAGTCTTTCATTAATTATTGACCATATGCCGAACATTATTTTAGGAAGTGAGCAGAGAGTGGATTTGGGAGCTATAAATTCAGTGTTTCTCAGACTCTGACAAATGTTTGAATTGCCCGATGATCTTACAAATGTGCATCTCTGATTCTAGTCACTTAGGGCAGGGTCAACTTCCATATTTCTAGTAAGTTCTCAGGTGTGCTAGCTCTGCTTGCCCATGGTGTACCCTAGAGAGAGCAGGTGCTGGAGGAAAGGGGAGGCCCAGGTTCCCCCTCCCTCCTAGCTTTACCTTCCTGCGGGGGTGGGGGGAGAGTTGTTCAGTCTATTGGTCAGATTCCAGAAAATGAATTAGTTTAGCTCTTTCTTCGACTTTATTTGGATGGAGCAGGTAAAGGGAGTCAGGGCCTCCTTGTTGGATCTTGCTTTCTCCTTTTCAAATGCATAATGACACATACTTTTTTATTGCTTGCATTTCTCACCAAACTTGTGGCAACTTTGGTGCCTCGTTCAAGAGGGAAAGTCCCTTGGAAGCTGTTGGTTTTGGGCTGCTGGTCCTAGGAAGAGAAGCCTGCATACATTTGGCATAATTCCAATGCATGTGAAGAGCTATTTTGATTTCTCTCCCATCAGTGGCCCTTGGGTTTACTGCTTCCTCAGGAACTTCACAGAGAAGGATGACTGAGCC